GCAATATGGCAAACTACGGGCTATTTTTGAGAGTCGCAGTCAAAGTGTTAAATATGCGTGCCCGTTAACTATTCGATTTTATCAGGTTTCATCTGTTAAGTTTGTGCTGAATTCCTCTCTGTATATGTAGGTGCGGTTGCTGGAATTGCTTCTCGGTTCTGTTTGTGGAAACACAAACCTTCTGTGCATTGCTTACTTTTTTGTTGCGATTTTCGCCGAATGGTGATTTGGGGTCCGCATTTTTCCATCAATTCCTTTCAGCTTCTCTTACCTCTTCTTTGATAATTTAGTCGATTCCTCGACGACATCAAGGCAGCCTTTACAAAGAACCCGCACCTAACGAACCTCCTTCTTGACCCGTTTTTCAAAGAAATTATTGAACGCTGTCAGGTGAGCATTTGGTCTATGCTGAGTTTCCTGGAAGAATTCTACTGTCCCACTTTTATTTTTGTAATAAGTCCTCTTTCCCTCTGCCAGTAGAAATGACCCACTTATCAATTTTTATCATATTTTTGGCATTGTACTGACTTTTGTTGAGTAGGTCGTGTGTAGACATTTATTTTGTATTCTAGCGCTGTATGACAATGGTGTTTAACGTTTTTGCGCGAAAGGGATCTTGTGTCCTTTGCAGGCATCGAGCTGGAATTTCAGAGTTGATATAGGGTAATGTCTTACGCGTTACCCGCTTAAAATTAACAAACTCAATCATTTTGTATTTTAGAGTTCCTGGCGCAAGGTCGTATGCAAGGGCGTTACCGCGGGTATTCCCTTGCCCGGTTTCAGTTCAGCCCTCGCCTTCTATGACGCCATCCGTTCTGCCCGTTTGCCAGCCAATTTGATTCAGGTACCGTATGTTGTTTTTTTCTTTTAATTTCACACCCGACCTCATGTTTGTAACCTTTTTCTGTCTACATGGGTACAGCGTCCAGAGTTTTCTCATTCCTTTTGCAAAATATTAATATGTGAGGCTTCTGTGACCTTTCATAATAAGCGATTCTGTTTTGTTTGGCACTGAGGTTGATGCGGTCGCTGGGAAAGACTTTTATTGCCTGACGTTTAGACATCCCTCGCGGATTCTTCATCGGAAAAATCTGCAGAAGACATTAACAGAAACGGGTAGTACATGCACAGAAGGTTGCAGTTTTTATAGGATACAGTCATTACTGCGCACTTATGACAGCTAACACTAATTGGCCTCTGTTGCGTTAATGACTTAATGACCGGCATACGGGCCGCGACCCGCTGAGCTTGCATCATGCCTGGTGGAATCGGACGTGATAATTGCTCGGCCATCTGGTTCCCCAGTGTTGGCGTAAGACGGCGTGGTGGCCTGTGCGTTTCCCAAGTGGCGGCTTGCTTTGGCTAAACTGAGCCTCTGCACCAAATATGGATTGGAAAAGTTGTTGCGCTTGTTTATGGACTGGGGACCCGTGAACTATGAGTCAAGTTATTCTCTACTATTTGGGAGGTTTGCCGGATTTGCTTAATTTAGTTGACCCGATTGTGAAAAAACTCGCGGTATTCGGCGGGATTTGACCCCGCATTAAACAATTCTGTCTAACCTCCTCAATAATTAAGTCAGCCTAGTAGTGATTCTGGTGGATTCTAGATGATTGCTTACGAAATCCTGCTTGGGCAGTCCGCCTTGCTGTTCCGTATTGGTGGATTCCATACGAGCGGTAAAGTTGGGTGGGTAAAATCGATCCAAATGTGATTAAACTCATGGTGCAAGGCGTGGCATTTGTAGCTCAGCTGCTAGAGCATTGGCTGTGTAAAAGCCTTCCCTAATATGCGAGTTCAGATCCCGCCGAATGCCGCGAGTTTTTTCACAATCGGGTTAACTAATTTCCGATTCACATGATTTTCAACTCTATGAGGGATTTTGGACTCATCAAATTTGAATGTGTGGCCTAGTCTCGTCGAATGATCCGCAACTTGAGAATTGGCATAATTTCGCCGCACTGCTGCCGCGTGTTCGGCAGTTCGCGTCTTCCAGTTTCTTTGTCCACAACTGCACCAGATCCTATAGACGACTCCATATGCTTCTTATGGTTCTCTCCGGGCTGTGTGCGACTCCAACTCCAAGTGGTGCGAGAAGGCGGTCGGCGGTCTCCCAAACTTTTTTCACATACGGGATCGCTTGCCAAAAGTTGGGGTTGGTGTGATTTTGCTGCCCATCTCGGTTGCGCATGCACCGGTTAACGAAGTTGTGCGAGTAGCTGTTTTCTCTGAGCACCTGTCGACGATATTGTATTTCGGCAACTTCTTCTGGTTTACTGCAGTGCGTCTCAGTGCGCCGATAAAGCATC